GAAAATTATAAACTTTGTATATAACTGATAATACCAGATAAGTTCGTTTTCTTTTGTGCTTTTCGCTATTTTCAAGCGCATGAGTAAACGGGAAAGTGGACGAGGTTAAAGTGGTGGTTTTCACTAATGTTTGACAAAATCTATAACTCACCGTTGAAACAGCGTAAAAAAATCTGTAGGATGCATGGCAATATAGAACTTATAATGTGTACGAAAAGACATGGTGAAACCGAAACTAAGTATCTGAAATTTAAAGGTGTACTAAGGTCATCCTTGAGTAAAAAATTTTAATCCCAGACATTTATTGAAGCCAATCAATTGTTATTGAATATGTCAAATTTGAATAAAAGAATTAATTAACTATGTAAGAGAAGCGGCGTTTCCTATTACGGGACAAGTAAAGTTGGTCCTTTCTTAACACTATATATTAATATTGTGACCACCTATAGTGTATAGAACTTTAAACATGACATATCTACTTTGTATCAAGTCAAAACGTGTTTATTTTATATATACAAAGATACTTTGTAGCAATTATATAAAAAATTATATAAAATTTGAACAAAGTGTATGTTTTAATTGATAGTCAAAGAACTTATGAATGTAGATTTTTCGTTTCCAGGCTCCTTAAGATCAGTCAAAAGTTAGACGCGTGTATCTTTATGTTACAAAATGATTCGGTAAGAGTGGCGTCTCCTGACAACACTGCAAATGGCGTAAGGGTTTCAAAGGAAGGCGACTGTTGCGTAAGGGTTTTAAAGGGAGGTTACTGTTGCGCTCAAAATAAAGTCATGATATAATTGCAAATGGTTGAGGGTTCAAAAGGAAGGTGATTGTTGCCCTACAAATCGAGTCGGTTAGAGTGACTTCCCATGATAATATTGCAAATGGCGTAAGTGTTCAAAAGAGAGACTAGAGTCAGTTAGAATGACCTCCCTGTAAACATTGAAAATGGCGTAAGGGTTCAAAAGGGAGATTACTGTTGTGTTCGTTAAAAACAAAAAGTCGGTTAGAATGACCTCCCCTAATAAAATTGCAAATGGTGTAAAGGTTGAAAAGAGGGTACTGTTGTGCTAAAAAAGTGCAGTTAGAGTGACCTCGCCTAATTAAATTGCAAATGGCGTAAGGGTTTTAAAGGGAGGTTATTGTTGTTTAAAAAAAGTTAGTTAGAATGACCTCCCCTGAAAACATTGCAAATGGCGTAAGGGTTCAAAGGGAGGTCACTGTTGCCTTCGAAAAATAGTTGATAAGAGTGACCTCCCCTGATAATATTGCAAATGGCGTAAATGTTAAAATCTGGACCTGAACGCCTTTGTTAACGTTGTCAGTATATTAGGGATTTTCGACCATGCGACCACATGCATGCATCGAGAACATGTTTGAAGGTAAATGACCGTGCGAGCACATACACGCATCACAGGATTCCACTTCTCTTACGAGAAAGGGACAAAGAGTTGTCCGCCTTTTTATTAAAGGGCAGACTTAAAAAATATGCCATTGCCTTATGTTATTGATAAGGATGCTAATTTTCATAGATATGTCTTGAATTGGTTTATATACAACTATACTTACGCAAACCAAGCAAACCAAGTTTACCTCCTTTTAAGTTCGGTATGAAATTTTAAAAGGATAATATATAACTTTTTGGAAAATTTTCAGTTTAAAGTTTTTGTAAATATAACAGAATTATTTTAATTTTGCAAAACATGATTGTTTCAAAAACGTTTTATATGCATTAAATATTGGAGATATATTTCACACGTTGTTTTCAAATATTAACCTAGGGGTATTTTTGCCGAAGTACTGTTCCAGGACAATATCTTGAGCATATGTTTACATTAACATTAATAACAATGCAAATACATAGGTAAGGCAGACTGAAGCCTAATTAATGAAACACAAACTGAAAGTAAAACGTCATATTTTCATGTGCCTTGACAGCGCAGTAGGCAGATCGTCAGTGTCAGTGTTTTTTTCTCGTCTTTAGATGCTCGTATCATAGTTAGGTACCATTACATGTATCGATCTTATTCTTATTTGACCAGTTTTGTTTCAAATAGTTACATATGCATGAGATATAATATTTTTGTACACAGGTTGATATGCAGTTGTGTTAAGTTTGTGGTAAACGCCAAACATCAGGAAAAAGCATTGTTAGAAATATAAGAAATATAATGAAATGAGGTGTTTTATTTTATCCATACATTCAAATCATTAATATTTCGTAATCGTAGTGTGTTTAAAATTGTTTGATTTTTAAAATGTTAAATTTTTTTTTTAAATTACTTGAAATGTAGTTAGTTTCTTTATAAAGAGTGGAACAAAAATGAATTAAAAAGAAACATAAAATAATAGTCGAAATTTAAAAGAACCAAATGCACGTATATTTAAATGATCATAAAAAAGATAGGCAACGTGAAAAATGGAGAAAAACAACAACAATAACATCATAGTAACTTGGCAGAGCGAAGGATCCAAACATACATTGTAAGTGCAAATCATTAAAATTTTCTTTGACGTTGATTTACCAACTTAGCTTCTATACGATGGTACACGTTTTTTTTAGAATTAAATTACAGTTGTATATATCACGGGCGAGGAACTGTTACACGAAGGATTGAGTTATTATGATAACTTGTTTGGAGTTCTTATGATAACTTGTTTGGATATAACTTGTTTGGAGTTCTTATGATAACTGGAAAACGTTAACGATTCTGTGGAAAACTTTTCTATAAACTTGGAGAACTCAATTTTTATCTTTAAATGGGAAGTTTAAGGTGCTTAATTAAACTTTGATAATTAAGATTGCCCTACTAATTGTATTATGTTTCAGAAAAACCTTTTAGTCCATTTTCATCCCCTTTAAAAAAGTAAAAGAACTGAAAACAGATCGGCCTTCGGCCGGAAGAAAATATATGTGTAAATCGTGTACTATGGATTGTGCGTATTTCACCATAATGTTGATATAGTCTATTAGAAATGACGTGTCGATAATTCCTGTCTAGATACCGTAATGGCTTTACGAACAATAATCTCACAAATACGTTCTTTATGGGCCCCGAGTACAAAAAGCAGGTAACAAATTTGCCTACAATAAAACCACCTGGCGTAAGAGAGATGCTTTCAATGTTAATAAAAAAGAAATTTGTGAAGTGCTTTAATCTTTTAAAGTGGAGTCACAGTTTATTGCGACGTTAATATCCCTTTTCCTCATCTTTCTGTACGGAATTTATACGGGTATTGATACGGGTAATATACATGACAACGGCATACAAATGATTGACGCAAGGGCATGTAACGCCAGGTGGAATGAATTTTTACCTATGTATCTCCATTTTTTTCATGCATTCTACCCAAGTCAAGGTACCAAAGGTTAAACAGATGGTCATGATAAGCCACTACCTGTATAGATAACATTTTGTACACCGTATATAATTGCATGTGCAAATAAATGCGATTTCACTGTGTATCAATCAATACACAAAAAATCACACACTTTCACACAAGCCCGTTTTGAACAGTGCAACATAATATCAGAACCCAAAACAACCGAACCATTTAGCCCTTATCCTGTTAAATTTTCGTAATGCTATCAGGCCCTGTTTTCACTGGCATGTGAGTGACAGGAATTTGGATATTAACATACATATTTAGTCTAAACAATATAACAAGGCTGGCCTGGTTCTGTAAATGTAGAGGCTAGTCTTGTTTTTTTACTGGCCATAATCGTCATAAATATTTCTCTGAATCATCACGTATGAATGATGCATCCAAACTACGTATGCTATTTAAATAAAAATGCGACATGACTAACGTAAGCTAGACAGCCTGTATTGTAAAGAACTCAATTATATTAGAATAAACAAGTATAAAAACTAAGTACTGGATGAAAAGCGCAGCAATATTCGTTGAGAATTATATTCATTTTGTATGACTTGCATCCTTAAAGACATATATTTTACTTTTGTGTACTTGAGTACAATTAAGTTTCTGGTAACTATAAATAGAATAAATTTAACTCATCCGGGGTATTTTTAAATCTAGAAATAGAGAACACAAATGTAAACTTTTAACTATCGTTATTTGATTACTTAATTACTTCTTCTTTTTTGTAATTCGTGAGATAAATTGAAAATGTTTTTTTTGTTGTTTTTTTTTTCCGTATGTTTGTGTTAACATTTAAGGTGCATACTAAAAACAATCAGTTGATGAAGCAGCTCGTATTCAGAAAAATAAAATGTTGTTATAGGGAAAAAACGCTTACCAATTTCTTCTTCCAGAAACGCTATTCTTTCGATCAGTGTTTTATTTTCAGTAGCAATTACGTCGGACTTTGGCGGTAAATTGTCGTGAATGTCCTGCTGTTTATTGTCGTCTGCTTCACATGGTGTTATTAAATCCACTTCCTGTGATAAATTTCCATTTTGAGCACTTGTTACAGATTCTAACACTTCCTTTTCTGCACTATCTTCGTTGTCTTGACCACTTTCACTCATTTTATTTTCCATTTGAACACTTTCAGAATTATCTGCAGACGAACATTCCATTTCCGGCGAATCACTATGACCATTTAATTCCTTTTCCGATAGCGGAACTACTTCCCTACTCGAATCCATTTGCACGTTACACAAACGCTCTATCAATACAGAATAAATTTCCTCTAATGCAGAAAGAAGCCTGTCAGGATCACGTGATTCAAATATCGTCTGCTGCCGTTCTTCATCACAAACTTCCTCATCACTCGGCAAATAATTAATGTTACCTGAGGTTCCCGGGTTTTCCGTGCAAGTGAAAGTTTTTAACTTAGTTTCACTTGGTTTCTCAGCTCCGGCAGATAGTGCGTTATCTAACCATGTATCGCTACTCGATTCAATTACTTTGTCTGAACTCGATATTTTTGCAATTTTGAGAATGTGTTCCAAATGCACATTCGGTAAATAGGCCCTGGTTATTGACAGAACATGTTTAGCAAGAGACTGGATTCTACCTGCCAGAACTTTTAGAGATGCCTCATTTAATTTTAACTTAGTTTTCAATTCTGTTTCCTCAGCATTTTCGATATAAGCCACCGCAAGAGTTGATTGCCCTTGACAGCTCGAAATATTTCTCTCTTCGAAAGTTCGAATTTCATCTACAAGAGCGCTTTTGTCTTCTTTTAAATTCAGAATTCTTTTTCGTAATGCTTCGTTTTCTTGGTGACTAATTTCCAGCTGTCTTTTCAGTTCGACTACCATATTATATTCTGATTCCAAATCAAGATCTAGCGACTGACTTTTTGTCAAATGCTTTCTACCGGAGTACTTAACTTGATTATTTTTAAGTTCAGCAAACAAATGCTCGATTTCTCTTTCTTTATCGAGAAGTTTCGTCCTAAATTCGTTCGCCTCTTTTTCATATTCTTTAATTTTATCTTCATAGTAAGCCCTAGGAGACGATGGCTCAGGAATGACCCTCAGCTGTCGCTCACAGTCCTTTAGCTTCTTTTCAAACAAGAATAATTCCCTATGCAACATTTCGTTCTCTTCGTCCATACTCGACATATTCTTTTTCAAGACCGACAACTCTTTCTCTGACAACTCGAGTTGAATCTTCAATTCTACTTCCGCTTCCGTTTTGGATTCATTCGAGTCAGTTTTATTTGCTGAGGCTCGTTCTCTCGACATTTTCTTTAACTGTTTGCTGAGGTTATCATTTTCCTGCTCCAGATCGACCACCTGAAGGTACATAATTATGAAGAAAAGATTCATACCTATTGGAGAGTAATCCCCTACTTCATCTCAGACATAAATACATGTATTTATTATTCTTTTTTTAGTTCTTTTTTCTTTTATTATTATTATTATAATAATTATTATTATTATTATTATTATTATTATCATTTATATCATCATCATCATCATTATTATTATTCCTCAGGCAAAAATATGTATCTTTTTTTAAATACTTTTTTCCCCCAGGCAAAACTACTTATCTATTGCAGAGTAACATCTGTTTATTTGAAATGATAATAGAATACTTTGTGGAATATTCTAAAAGTGTATAGTATACCCACAATCCATTTTTCATTCTGTAAAACGCTTTACCGTGTGCTCAGAAATACCATTATCCTTACTTTTTAATAGGAAGAAAAAGAGACAATATAAGTTTTCAACAACAACAAGAACAGATATACAGAAAAATAAATAAATAAATAAAATCACAAATGACCTTTTTACGGAGTTTCTTTGCATCAGCTTCCTGGAACTGTAGCTGGTCTTTGAGGTCGAGTTCTCGTTCTTTCCCGTCATATAACTCTCGTTTTAACTCGACAATCTCGTGCTCGAGACTTGACTGAGGACCAATCTCTTTAAGGCTAGCCTGGAAACGTAAATATTAGCCTGAATAATTGTATAAAGTTTAAGACCCAGTGCATTAGCTGCGTTGCAATGGTAGATATACTATGCTCAAATTTGATAATAATTGCTAAAAATATTTATAATTGCTACATAGTTTCTTTGTATGTATAAAATAAACATGTTTCGACTTCATTTAAAGTAGATATGTTATGTTTTGAACACTACACGCTACAGGTGGTCACAATATGAATATATAGTGTCATTAAAAAAAAACTGGCAGTTTTTTAAAGAAAACACCAACTTTACTTGACCCGTAATAGGAAATGCAGCTCCTTTACATAGTTTATTTATTATTTTATTCAACATATTCAGTAAGAATTTCATGGATTTCAATACATTTCTATATAAGATAATAAATACTTTACCCAAAGATGAGCATAGTATATCTTTAAATGTCCGTATACGTGTTTGTATCATGGTGTACCAAATAAAAAAGGTGGTTTAGTACTATGAAAGAGGGCGACGCAAGTGCGAAATAATGATATAAATAGCAGCAAAGGGGTCGGTTTAATGTCAAAATAAACCGACCCCTATACTGCTCTAAATAAACTTTTGAGCTCCGAAAACAATTTTATTCCAGTGATTCACCTTTTGGGGGAATCTTTGTTGTTGTTGTTGTTGTTGATGTGTTGTTGTTGTTATTGATGATGATGATGATCATGATGATAATGTTGCTGCTGCTGTTGTTGTTATTGATGATGATAATGATAATGATGATGATGGAGTTGTTGTTTTTGTTGTTGTTGTTGTTGTTTTACAATCAATAACATCTCGAATACTGTTTAAAGTTTTTACTTACAAGTAAATATTCAATATCATTAAAAAAACTTTTTGTACACAATATAAAAGAAAAAAATATAAGTATCATCTGTAATAGCAAAAGCAGTTGTTTTATTTCGTTTTATAAAATAGACTTAAATTGCATTCTTTAACCATATAAATAAATAGATAAATAAATAAAATCTTCCTAAAATCTAAGATTGATTTAAAGTGATTTACAATGCCATTTGTATGGTACATTTTTTCACAATACCATTTTTAGAACATTTTTGTCACGTGAAATTGTTGTCTACTTCGGCGATATTATTTGACGAAAAAAATACATATAACCAATATGGCGGCTCACAAAAAGCTCATGACGGTTCTTTAATTAAAGACACATTTTTTATCAGCAGGTTATTTTGTTCTTTACAAACCCACAGCAGACATTGAAATATTTTTTTTATGATCAGGAGTCACATTTAAACTTCCTACTTTCAATAAATTTATTAATCATTATATTGCGAAACATGTATATGAAATTCCTTTTGATGTTCAAATTTTACGGTCTTCGCGATTATTATGCAATCTGCTTATTATTCAGATCTACTTATTTCTTAATGCGTAGCGTTATTACACTGTTAATCAAGAAAGATAACTACGTGTCCCTTATCAAATAAAACACTTTCACGTTTAACTCCCTTTGAGTGGGAAAGTCGATCTTGTTCGTATGACATTTACTAATAGGACAACGAAATCCTACCAAAAATGTCTAGTATATAATATGTTTGAATCCATTGATCTTTCAACAACACACGTTTGGTTACGGACATACGTCTTTAACAGAATTTTAAAAAAAAATCTGCTATGAAATAAAGAAAAATCTTAATCTAAAGGGTCCACCACCAATGATAACTTGATTTGTTTGGTATATTCTTGTTTGCTGGTAAAGATCCGCGAGACATTGTTCAAAGTTACATTATGTCCATCCAAGGGTATTAAGTGAGTGAACAATTGAAAGTCAAAATAAGTTTACATTTTACCACAATTCCTTTCAATTCTTTAATTTAATTCAAGTGAACAATACGCAAGTAACTGACGTGGCCCCAGGAAATTTCTGTAAATAGGAGATATCTCCAAATAACTTACAGAAATTTCCTTGGGCCATGTCATTTTTAATATCCATTGGAATTTACCTGTATCGTTGAATTTATAAAAAGAGTTAGGAATCTGTTTTATGTTTATTGCAGCTTTATATGTTATCCTATTTTTTCCCAAAATTAACTGTTGGTCAAACACTACTAAAACAGTCTATCTCTTGAAATATATAATAAGCTCATCTTGACAATGAAAATTTAAGCATAATGTCAATTTGTTAATGTATTTTTTATGTTCTGTTGTTGTAGTTATTGTTGTTGGTGTTGTTGTTGTTGTTTGTATTATTGTAGATGATGATCATGATGGTGATTCTGGCTTATTGTTGTCATTGCTGTTGCTGCTGCTGTTGTTCTGGTTGTTGTTGTTATTACTGATGATGTTGTTGCTGCTGCTGCTGTTGTTGTTGTTTTTTGCTGCTGTTGTTGTTTATGTTGCTGCTGCTGCTGCTGTTGCTGTTTAAGTGAACCTAGAATTTCCACAGTGTCATACATGTATTTGTTTTCCTCTTGGTCAAAATATCCGAACTATCACCTGAGAACATATTTACTGCTTATAAAGGCTGAATTGCAATTCCTCGAGTGATGGTGATTTTGAGATTGTTGATGCTGTTGCTGATGTTACTGTTGTAGTTGTTGTTGTTTGAGTCTGAGCCTAGAATTTCCACAGTGAAATATTTCCAATTGTTTCCATTAGTTTCCCTCTTGGTAAAAAAAAACAACCCGAAGTATCACGTTGAGATACAGGCTTAAATAGACTGAATTGTGATTCCTCGAATATGGCCACGATAATATTGATTTTTCGTTTGTGTAGGACAAAAACGGGTCACTTTAAACGGGTTTCACGTGCACTATTAGACGCCTCTCACGTAAACCATGTGCGTTGATATAAACTTACACATGTTTTGATAATTAAAAGAAACCTGTTTAAAGTGACATGTTTTGCTTATTTGAAAAAAAAAACTGTTTAAAGAGACAGTATGCTCACTTTTTTCCGCATCTAAAAAAACAATTTAATTAAAACAGTTTCAAGTGACTTTCTGCTAATTTTTCGCTATCAAGTTGCCTTAATTTAGTAATACATGTATATTTCAAATTTCAAAAGATTTATTATGATGATCGACCAATAAAAGATAATGAAAAATGTTCATGTTTCAATATATTAACAACTTAAGTTATAACATTAATAAATTCTGAACGACGATATAAATTTATAGAAATTCCCATTGGTCTTTTGGTTTATTGTTTATTTATTTTTTATTTTTTTTGTATTTACTCATTTGTTCTATATAATATTGAACACAATTATGGCAATATGCCAAGTTTTTGTGATTGTTTTATCAATTCACTGACCATTTACGCTTACCTGGGCATAATGTCACTTTAAATGGCGAAAACATGCAAGTGCTTGGTAAGGGAAATAACAAAGTATTGCTAAAAACGTATGTAAATCTACATTTATCTCCCTTTAATCGGAGCTTTATGCAATTTTTATCCTGTTTGTCATGAAATAATGTTAACCTTATTAATACAACAGTCAAATGTAAAAACCATCCCACATCCACAGTGGAAAAAAATTATAATTTGATTAATATTATCAAGCCCTAGGTTTAGGCTTCACCGTGTGGGAACCAATGGTGAAATTCTTGTTACATGCTCTTCTCTTAGCAACGCATGGACCCGGAACAGCGGGCACGGACGAGACGAAAATAATTGAATCATTTACCAAGATTTTGTCATCGAGGTCTGTGTAACATTTAAACGTTCTGAGTACCTTTTTTTATATTACTAAACGGAATTTCGGTAGTCGTTTGTGCCTGAAATAATGCGCGGATGAATCCCTCAGTCTTCCTCCACCAGTAAAGCTGGAAAGTCGCCATACATGTATGACCTATACTGTGTTGGTGCGACTTAAATGTTGTTATATATTTCTGGTTCTTCGGCATCATTGATTCCAGCACTGTTAAGTGTTGAAAAGTGAGTACAGGTCAGCCGATGCTAAGGGGTGTGAGGGATGTTGCACTTTTACATGATCCCACATGTACAGACTCAATCATGCCGAGTCTGCAGTTTTCATGTAATTTTGTTGTGATAAATACTTACGAGGGATCACCCTTTTTCCAGATTTTTAAAACCCATCAAAAAATACAAAAATTTAAAAGTGGATTGGTCTACAATGGGCACATTTTACTGTAAGTATTTCAAATGTTGATAAGAACAATAGAAGTACATCGTTTGGATATTGTTCCTAAATATTTCTTGATAGAGTTCTAATTAAGTGATTTAGACTTTTTTAGAAGTCACATATTTAAACAAGGCGTTTTTATTGGATACATGTACATGTACCTTATACAAAAGGTCTTTCAAGCTTGAGTAGATATATATGTTCCTAACATATATTACTGCATCTTTGTAGAACTGTTTGGAATTTTTTGGCTGCCCGTGCGTTCAGGTTTCATACTTTACATGTACATCGACTTTTTTCTGTGTGAACAGATCTTACTGAAGAGTTAACATGTGGTCTTTCAGGCTCATTCGACCATTATTCCACGATAACGTCTTTTTATACGCTAGGTAAAATTTTCAAGACATAGAGGCCTTATTAAGATGAGTTTTGGAGGGCTTATTATTCTGGGCGCTTATTATACTGTGTTTTGAAGGGACATATTCCAATGAGTTTTGATGGGCTTATTTTTTCTGAATTTGGATTGATTATTCTGTTGACTTTTAGAGGGCTTATTCTACTGCGATTTGGAGGGCTTATTCTGCTGAGATTTGAAGGGCTTATTCTTCTGAGTTTTGGAGGGTTTATTTAACTGAACTTTGGAGGGCTTATTCTACTGACTTTTGGAGGGCTTATTCTTCTGAGTTTTGGAGGGCTTATTCTTCTGAGAATTGGAGGGTTTATTCAGTTGAGTTTTCGAGAGCTTATTCAATTGACTTTTGGAGGGCTTATTCTGCTGATGTTTGGAGGGATTATTGTCTTGAGTTTGTGGGGACACATTCTGTTTAGTTTTAAAGGGCTTATTCTACTGAGTTTTAGAATACT